GATAAAGCTGCTACGTATCAAGAGGACCAAAGCCTGGTGTGGTACACAGCTGTAATCCCAGCATCAGGGGCTGATACAGGACTGCTGCTAGTCAACACCAGTATGGGTACATAGTGAGTACCAGGCCAGTCAAATAACAAAGCAAAACAACCTCCCCCCCGAAAAGTAGAAATAGACCAAATTTCAGTTGAGAAAGGCAATCTCCTAACACTTTCAGAACACAAACAACCCATTTTATCTAATTGCTGTGTATGCATAATTATTGGCAAAACTCTCTAATTCCTGGCCTTCCCATGGGAAAAAGAACAGCAGCCTCTTTTGGAAAAGATGAGGCTTGAAATGCAAAGAATGAAGTAAACAAGAAATGTTTTCAACAAACATTTAGAGGACCTTCTGAAATGCCTGTATTGTCCACTAAGATGAAAATATGAGATTTGATTCACACCCCCACATTATTCCCCTCATGGAAGCTTCTAGATCGAATGAATGAAAGTTGGGCAGGATGACAAGAGAGACGCCAGGGCTCTAGAGTTCTCTACCCTATCAGTCACTTGTCTTTGTAATACAGAAGTCAAAAAGTTACTAAAAATCCCTGTCAATCTGGAGATGATTAAATATTTATTGAAAATTTAAATGTGATACTTAAAGATACTCTATTCCTCCAAGAATCATGAAGGCATACACCTTTATTTAAGAAGAAAGCTTTTTCACAAAGTGTCACTTAACATCCTACTTAGTTTAAGTTCCTCAACTCTGAAATCTGACACCTTCTTAGTTTCCTCTCCTGTCCCATCTGCAGGGACCTGCCTCAGTTGCTTCTGCTCTGAAGTTAATGCATCTACTAAATACATTCATCCTTCCATATCTTTTTTATTCCTATTCAATTTAATTTTGTTTAAAAATTTGCAAAATTCCTCAAAAACCAGCCTTCTTGGATGACTTCATAGTTCTCCTAATCTGGAATAATACCTTCTTCCATTTTTCTAGTATTTAATGTGTTATTCTGTTGTTGCCCTTAGCTAGCTCTACTTAGTGTTTTATGGATAATTACATCCTGTTCTTAATCAATACAAACAGCACTTTAGTAAAAAATAAAATATTTTAGTACTATTTATTTACTATGTTTTCTATCAGTGTGATAAATATAATCTGACAAAAGCAATTTAGAAGAGAAAGGGTTTAACTCACAGTTCCCAGTTACAGTCCACCATTATGGGGACGACCAGGTGACAGGAACTTAAAGCATCTAGTCACACCACAGTCAAGAGCAGAGACAGAATAGGCACATGCATGTTTGTGCTCAGGTAGTTTTCACCACTTTTATATAGTCCTGGATCTCCTACCTAAAGAATGGGTTGGCCTTCCCACCTCAGTTAACATAATCAAGACAATCCCCCACAGATATGCCCACAGACCAATCTAATCTAGATAATACTTCAAGACTCCTTTCTCAGATGATTCTGGATTGTGTCAAATTGACAAAACTAAATATCACACTATGTAGTACCATATATATGTAAGGAACTCAACAATGTAGGATAGATGTAACCCAAAGGACAAAGAGTACTTTCAGAACTAGAACACTTTCCTTCCTAATGCTTACCTTATCTTGTGGCCATTTGAACTGCCATCTGTGTGTCTTTGAATTTCTGGACTATGAGTCTAAAAGCACTCTTTTCTTAAAAACCTGCCACTGCTCCTAATTAACCCCAGAGTAATCATTTGACCTGAATGATATAACATGCATACCCAATCCTCTGTCTTTCCAGATTTACTCTGGTCACCAAACAATACTTCTCATAAAATCTACCATATCCATACTGAATTTCTGTTTCCCAGAAGTAGATTTTTTTTAAATATGAAAGCTTTGTCATTTCCTTTCTTTGTGTGTGGCCTGATTACTTATACACCATATTCAGCATGAGATGTTATTACATTGTACAAGTCAACCATAGCTTCTCCAACTATATCCAGCCCCAGACTGAATTAACCTTTTTTTCTCTGTGATATAATTAGTAACAATTAGGGATCACAGAGACTTGGGTCAAAATCTGATTCTGCCACTTACTAACTAGTAGCTATAAATTTATTTTTTAACATTTTTTAGCCTTTTGGGGTGGGGAGAGGAATGTGCCATGATGTTTATGTAGAGGTCAGAGGACAACCTGTAGAAGGCAGTTCTCTCTTTCCATGATGTTGGTCCCTGATGTGGGGTTCAGTGGCCAGGAACCCCGCAATCCTGAGGAAAGGTACACGGGTGTAATAGGGACGGGATTCAGGCTGGACAATGCTCCAGTAGCAGAGCGAGCTATGGGCAACCTGCGCTCTCTCTGGGTGCAGGGTGCGCTCACTCCCTGTGGGTCCGCACCTGAGATCAAACTCAGGGCATTAGTCTCAGTGGCAAAATCATTTAATGCCTAACAGCTTTTCAGGTGACATTTGGAGACTACATTTTTAAAAAACACTGCTTTGGATATTATCTACTTTGCTAAGCTCTAGTTTCAGCACCCTCAAAGTAAAGCTAAAAAACACTTCAAAAATTAGTCGAGCTCTATGTAGAGTCTTTGACATGACTTAGTGCACGATCAAGCCCAGTTAATCATCTTTTTACATTATCAGTGTATTCATGGCACTATGGAATTGCACCCTGAACAGACCATGCCAAGTAAACTGGGAACTGCCCAAAGAGCAGTGATCATGATGGCTTTACTATTACTGTGGCACAGGTACCATATGAAGTGAGATAATAAACACAAAGGGATGAGGTCCCTACAAAGATGATATAGGGAAAAGTGGGATCCCCAGTTAGGGGTCTTGGTCTTATTAATAAAAGAACTTAAGTATGGACGCAATTGGAAACTTAAGGAAAATTTTACTAAGAGTTTAGAAGTCAAACCTCCCTGGCAAGCAAACTGCATCTTAGCAGCTGCCCTGAGGAGAAGAATGGAAGAGAGGAGGAAAAAAAAGCCTTGCCTTCATCTAGTGGGGAGGTCAAGCTGGGCAGATTGGCAGTCACATGGCAGGTTGTTTGAAAGGGAGATAAGAAAGCCCAGAATGCTGCGTGACTGTCCCTATAAGCAACTGCCCCAGAGGGTGAGGATTCTGGGCAGAGAAAGCTCACCATCTCATTAACACTTGTTATTCCACTTGTCTCTTTAGTATGGCTTAAGGTGAACACACCTTTCTAGGAGTGGTCCTGTGTCCAGGTGACTAATGTGGCAAAAATAGAATGCTGGCTCTTCATCCAGACCAGACAGAGATTTTATTCTCACCAGACAAGGACCTTTCTTGCCACTGTAACAAAACAGTCAATAAACATTCAGTAAAAATTGCATGACTCTTTTGGGAAGAGGTTGGAGAATTTGTTAAAAAGTTAACACAGATCTGCCATATGACTGAGCTAGTCCATTCCTATTCAGGCAACAAAATTTAATGTGCATATTCATAAAGTTGTACATGAATAATTATAATAATATTACTCATAAAAAATCAGATTGTTTGAGATATTCTGTATGAAATACAACAAAATTTAATAAAAACAAACTTAAAAAACTTAGAGCTTCCTGTCTCCTATATTCAGTCCCTTATATTCTTGGTATTTTTAGAACTGTTTCTTGCCAACTAGTGAGTCAGGTTCCACCACTTCCATTTCTAAGAAGATAACAGAAGCAACTTAGAGAATTTTCTCTAAAGAATTAGAAGAGAGTAACTACACACACTATGCAGTTACCTCTGTGATTTCAGTTTCACCCTGAATAAAAGCAGTTGCAACGATCTATTCCCCCTGTCTTCCCCCTGTCTTCTGTACGGGAACATGTGCCTTTCTTTACTACTAGTTTGTATGCAAAGTTAACATGTGAAGAATTTAATTTTCAGTTCTTTGAGAATTCATGAAGTTTCATCTTTTGAAAAGTTGGTCCTGCTTCCGTTGTAGGTCCCTACCCTTGTTCTTTTCTTTGCTTTAAAACTCCATGTTTTATATTTACTTGTTAGTTCAGCAAATATTTTTTCACCATCTGCCAAGTGCCAAGCATTTTTAGCATGAGGTGATGCTGAACTAAGGAAAAGTCCCTGTTTCACAGAGCCTGAAGCATTGCATTTGCCGTCATGCCCTATAATTATTTGCTTCCCTCTCCTATTCCTAGAGGTATGTGTCACATCTAATTGAACTTTAAATCTCTAGTTCAAAATCTAGTGGCATGTAGTACATATTCACACACAGATAATTGGTATTTACAGAGGCCATTCTTATTATATTAGAGTGGGAAATGGAAGTGAACCTCAGAGATTATAAACTGCTGGTCTACAAACAGGCACCAGTTAGTATTCTGTGAATTACAGTGTTTGCTTGAATTTTAATTAGGACCAGCCCATAAAATGTGGGAGATTTTACATAACAATCCTGATTCCAAGCTTCTCTAGGAAAAGCCCACATTCCTTATGCACCAGAGGGCTGGGGCTGCTGTTTCCAGGCCACCTGCTCCTTGAGATGGAGAACTTCTCTCATCTCACCACCCCCTTCCCACTTTCCTATTGCATTTCATGAGTATTTTATTATTTGTGTGTATGTGTGGAGAGAAGATGACTTTTTAAAATTTCTACTTGAGTCCACTAAAAATGGGTCTCTTCAAGCTTATAACAACGTAGCCAATAGTGGAAACAATAACTTAATCTCTCCTATTTTTTAGTGATGTGGAATGGTAATAAGCACTTGCCTTCATTTGAACTATATAGCATATTGAGTCATGAATCTATATTGTGTTTGAGGCTTTTTTTCATACGTTTCACAGTACTTTTCCTGTATTTCTCAAATACATGAGCTAATTGCTGGCTACATTCTATTGTGATATAGATTCCAGTTTCAAGTAAAAATATATCTAAATATGTATGGTTTGGTACGTTTTTCCTCCTTTATGAACTTTTGTTTGTCTTGGTTTTACCAGATGAGATTGAAAAAAGCCTTTGTTTACCAAACTAAATATGTTCATCCTTTGTTTCAGTTATCTTTAAAGAGAAGAGGAAGCAAAGACTTGCCCAAATCTGAAAAAAAGGCTCAACAGACTCCCACAGAGGTATGTTGAAATTTCAGCTCACACATCAAGCCTCTCCAAATGTACATTTACAAATAGACATAATGGCCAAGTAGACTTATGCAAGATATGGTCAAATTATGTCTATCAATTATGTATCTGTTGTCAATGCAAAAGCATAACTCTCACCTCAAAGGGGCTAGAGATAGTTTATTCTGGAACCAAATATGATTGACCATAGCCCAGGAACACAGATTCAGGTTACCCCAAATTCCATGTTCTGGCATGCTAACAGTTATATTACTTTTTTTTTTTTTTTTTTTGGTCTTTTTTGTCTTTTTGAGACAGGGTCTCCCTGTAACCCCAGCTGTCCTGGAACCACTATGTAAACCAAGCTGGCCTTGAACTCACAGAGATCCACCTGCCTCTGCCTCCCAAGTGCTGGGATTAAAGGCGTGCACCACCACGTCCAGCCCTACATTATGTTTTTATAGTAACAGAACAAAGGAAAGTCATAAATCAAGACACATTTCAAATATATTGGTGAATACATTTAGTAGGCAGGTCATGGCAAAGTGAGGGGTTTCTACTGGTCTCAGATGCTGTCTGATAACATTCTTAGCCTTTTGATTGGTGGGACCTGGTGGTCTGCTAAGTTAATACATATTGTTGGTCACAAGAATGTTAATTCCAAAACAGAGGTAGGCAATGTTTGGCTATTTATGGGGTTAAGGATATCCCCAGATAATCTGTGAATCGGTTCCAGACCTGCAACATTCCAAACTCTCCACAATTATTGAAGTTCTGATCAGTTGATTAGCCTTATATGAGAAAGTCCAGTTTGAAGACAGAAGGTGCAGGAGTTCTTCTGGCAACTTTCTTTCACAGTATAGACACAGCTGACGGAATGTGTTCAGTATATTTGATTATAAAGCCCTCACTACTGTCCCTGTTATAACTTCTTTTACACCATAAGCACACAGGAGCATGCCATTAGTACTTCATGTGCTGCTTTATTTGAAAACTGTGTCCTGCATGGTAATCTCATTCTCTCATAGTTAATAAGGTCAGGAGAATGACTATCCTATAGTACTGACAAAATAAAGAAAAAAAATGCTACAGGAAGAGATAATAAAAGGGAAAGAGAGGCTTGCAGTGCCCTTAGAGAACTCTAGAATGATGTAATTTCCGTATATCATGATTGGAGAGGCAAAAGGAAGGAATAAAGGAATAAAAATAAAACAAAAGATACACTCAACCTGAGCCTGTTGAGAACACTGGAACGAGAGAAAGTAATGGGGGAAAGAAAAAATACTGCATGATATTTCTCATATGCAGAACCTAGATCTGAATTGTGTATTGTATTAATTGTGTGTGTGTGTGTGTGTGTGTGTGAAATGAAAGGTACACTATTGGGAAGAGGCCCAGTGAAATGGAGAGAAGAAAGGATTATGGAGTTGAACTATGAACAAAGTACAATGATACACACATATGAAAATGTCATAATGAAGCTCATTATTTTGTACACTAAAAAATAAATTTAAAAGAACATGAGATACAGCCACAGTAAAAACTAGCCCTGATATTAGGCTAAGCAGAAGGTGCTAATGAAGACTTTTGAAGCAGAAAAGGAAATATTTGGGACAAGAACGACATTATGATGTTCCCAAATCACTTACCCAGATATTAACTTTTAATATGAAAGTTAGAATGTATAGTACTAATGTATACATTTTTAAAATTATTATTGGATATTTTTTCTTTAGGTAACTTTAAAGTGATCTCGAGTATTTAAAATTTGAGATACGTGATCTCAATCATTGATTTAAAGCACGGCGTTTTAAATACGTGTTGTTTTCTTTTTCATCTCTTTCCTGTTCTGTTCTTGGTTGGTTTTTTTTCCTGATACACGAAAACATTTCTAGAATCTCGGAGTTTCATACCAAGGTCACAATATCTTTGTCTCTGTCCATAAGCTTCCTCACTCTGTCTCTGCCAGGACTTTAGTGACCACAGTTAAATGGTTTGCTACAGATTGCTTCACAAGTGGTCATGAATTCTCCTCCTCACCTTTAGTGCTTAGATGCTTCCTCTGTGAAAATTGTGAGTTAGCTTTAATCAGCAATTTGCTTTTTGAATCATGTGTTTGATGTATTACTTTTACAATGTTAAAGTGGATTTTTTCTCGGGAATGCCTTTGTTTCTGGCTATATGGACCTCCCACGTGCGGGCTATTTCTGCAAAAAAATATTGTAGCACTTTCTCAGGAGGATCCTGTACCTTACAGAAGTCAGGATGCCTTGCAAGTACAAGTCCACTAGTTTTTCTTTCCTGAGCATAAACTACCCGAGAAATGTGTAAGTGTAGAACTGTGGTACTGTGGTCCCTGTAGTGGGGTGCTTTGCATTCTCTGCTACCATTTCTAACATATTTATTTTTGGACTGTAACTTATCGCCTTTTAAAGTCCATCCTAGAAGGCTGATTGGGAAAGCCTTGTATGGAAATGTCAGTTATACAAAGGTCTATTATTATTAAATTATAAAATGATTTTGTTGTTGGTCAAGGTAAAGACCATCACCATCCATCCACATACTTGTATTACTATAAACATTCCAGTTTTGAATCATAATTCCAGTTATGAATTAATATGTCCTACTTAGGGCACTTTGCAAACAGGGACCATCCTGTTTAACCTTGAATTATCTGTATGCAGTGTCCAACACTGGACATACTTAGTACATACTTTCAAATACAAACTATTTCCTTGTTTTCTAGGCTGAACAACAGGAAATTGCCAGGATTCATATGGTCTAACCTACAATTATTCATATTAACTTCTTAATTTCACTAATCTGCTTCATGCTTTTTGATCTTGCCCTTACACCTTCCTCCAGCAGTGGAATGGCTCTATTTAGTGAGAAACAGTATTGCTTGGGAAATAAGATTTAGGGATAGATTGCCTAAATTGAAACCCTTGCCATATAGCAGCTTTATAATCCTTGATAAACTGCTCACTCTTTCTGGACCTCTGCTTCCTCATCTATAGAAAAATACAGCCATCCTAATAGAAAATTGTTGAAGAAGTCAAATGAGTAAATATATGTATTGGTTAGAATGTAACTTAGCTTCCAGCAATGGTTTTCAGATCAAACCCAGGCTCAGTTCACATCTTACTAGTCATTTGTTATCTTTATCTTTCCTTCCTTCTGTATCACTTGTATCTTCTTATAAGTGAATCTTTAACATAAATCAAAACTTGCTTCATACTTCAGAGCATATTGACTTTTCTTGCCTCTTATTCATGGTAGAAAAGTAGAACAAATAATTACTAGACCAGACAGTTTTCCCTAAACATTTTCCTTTCAACAATTATATATGGCATTTTTACTCCCAGTTTCTAATGCAGCCTATTATAAGATAAAGATGCAAGGCATATCAGCAGAGTTCTTAAACTCTGGGAATTGCGCAAACTATCAGGCTTTGTACCTTTAAAGGACTTAGTTTTAAATAAATAAACTAATTACCATGCCCATTTTCCTCTTGATGCATGTCCCTTAAAATAACTTTATTACATGAAGAATATGTTCAAGTTTTAAATATTTTTCTTCCTGTAGGAGAGCTCATATGCAAACAGATCACTCTTCTCTTTTAACTGTCTGACATAGCACAGTGAAGTTATTCTGCTCCAGTCTGTGGTTTGTGTCACACCCACTGCTGTTCTATTTAGATTAAAACTCCACCATATGTCATACACCCAAGTTGTTTAAAGACTTTTAAAAATTTTATGTGTATGAGTACTTTCTCTGCATGTATGTGCACCAACTATGTGTCTGGTACCCACAGAAGTCAAAAGAGGGCACTGGATTCCGCTGGAACTGGAGTTATGGATGGTTGTGAGCCACCATGTTGGTGCTAGGAAGTGAACTCGGTCCTCCGTAAGAGCGGCAAGTGCTCTGAACTTCTGGGTCATCTCTCTAGCCCTATCAAAGTTTGTTTTTTAAACAGAAAATAAAGAACTTCTACCTCATAGTGACTCTACCCAGCTACCCAGTCTAATACTTTCTAATAAAACTTGTTCTATGCAACAACGTATTTGATACCATAGACAGTATCAATGTCAAACATTGTTTCTGATTGTTGGCCTAAAGGAGCATCCAAACTTTGACCTTTTTTTTTCTCATTTGGTGCCTCCATAACCATTACAACAGCTTCAATCATACATGTCATTCTTATAGCCTCCATACAAAAATAAGCTATCTAGGTCCCAATGCATAATGTGTTCATGATTTCATATCCCAGATTCCACATGCCTGTTGCTGGATGTTTTTACAGTCTCCTCCACTGTTGTCCTTCAAAGACAGCCTTTAAAAACCTAAGTCCATATTCTTCATCCAGAATCTGCTCCCCTTTGTTCCTCCTGTCCCTGAAGTCAGTAGTGCAATCCACTGAGATGCCCTTGGTGTCAACAGTCACTTATAAGGCTGCTTTTCTCTCTCTTCATGGAAAGGCTTCTCCCATGAAAGCTTTCTGTGACATACCCTCTTCTCTGCGTACCACTGAAAATTCTTTCATCTCTGCTGCCAGTGCTCCCCTCCTGGCCCCTAGAGGGGAGTACACACACCAACACATCTGATTTCTTTAGTTTTATCCCACTGCTGTTTTCTTCATTTGTGCTTCCATTTCAGGGGCAGTTCAAGTAATACAAGTTTTGGAATCAGCTTGAATTCAGACTCTGCTCTGCCATCTGTTAACCTGTGCTCTAACATGTTGAGCCCACACATCTGTAAAAGGATAAAGTTTTACTTAGAGGGCTTGTGTGAGGATCTAATGAGAGAAGGAACATGGTGTTCAGCATCTGCATACTTAGCAACTCTACAGCCCTTATTTTTCCCATTAGCAGTCAGGAAAACAGAAGACCCACAAGTGACAAAAGCTCACTTTTCTCCTCACCTTCTCTACTTTACCAGAATGTATCTCAAACACAAGTGACTCTGAGGGTTGGGGAAGAAGGGACTGTTTCTTCCCATTTTTACAACGAGGGCTAGGGATGTTGCTCACTGGTGGAATATTTGCCTAGCATTTGCCAGGCCCTAGATTCCATCCCCAGCACTGCCAAAACTGTCTTGTCTACTCTATCATCTATCCAGCTATCGTCTATCTATCTAAATGAGCAAGCCAGTCTGTAGAACTTTAAACATACTTAAAAATGAATTTTCAGAAATGGTCCTTGGAAAATATATTCCTAGATGTAATAATGTGTTTCTATGGAAGCTCTTAGAGAGATGGATTTCTATTTCTCTCTTAATGTTTTGCAGTTTAGTCAATGATTAGGCTTTCAAGGCATGCATATGAGTGTTCAAGAGAATCGGGAGTCTACTCTTGTACTTTAGGCTGCAGAACCGGCTCTATCCATTTCTACAGATCGCAGTGCATCCTATTTCAAAAGTCATGCAAATGGAGTACCTGCCAGTTTTTCTTGCATGGATAATTCAAGTATGGATAATTCTAGAGTCAGGCTTTCCCTTTTTAATGGACTTTAAAACAGCCTTCTTCAAATAACAATGAAGAGGGAGTTTCCTGGTAGAGTGATCAAAGGCCATAGTTTCAGAGAGAAGTGTAATCAGATTTCTTTTTTTTTTTTTTTCTGTCCCACCGTGTGGCCTTGAACAAGTCACTGAATACCTGTGTGTGTGGCCTTGAACAAGTCACTGAATACCTGTAAACCAGGGAACTTGATACCTACTTCTGAGTTTATTCTATTAAATCAAGTCGTATTTGTAAAGAGCTGCAGAGCATCTCATTCTTGTGCTCAATAAACGGTAGTAAGTGCACAGTAACCACATGTTCCTTAGTGCAAGTAAATTCTGTATTTAGGGTAGTTAGGGAAATTCAAAACACAGTAACGTCACAAAATGGCTGTCTGCACTAGCACATATACCACCTCTGAAGAGTTGATGTCCCTTGTCCTCTTCTCCCATTCCCTTTGCTTTTGGTTTCCAGAATGTAATATCCCAATCTTTAATTGGTCCAAGAATGTAACTGATGTGGAAAAAAAAATTCACATCTACTCTCCATGTGACATCATACGTTAATTATAAGGAAAAGATTTTTGCAGATGTCCTTTCTTGGTGGTTGTCTTTATTTGCATAAAAATGCTCTCCCATTCTTTCCCCACTCTTCCCCTAATGAGGAGGACAATGAAGATCTGAAATGCCAGCTGCAGTTCGTTAAGGAAGAAGCAGCTCTCATGAGAAAGAAAATGGCCAAGATTGATAAAGAAAAAGACCGGTTCGAGCACGAACTGCAGAAGTACCGATCCTTCTATGGTGATCTGGACAGTCCTCTACCCAAAGGAGAGGCGGGCGGGCCTCCCAGCACCAGGGAGGCCGAGCTCAAACTGCGGCTACGGTTGGTTGAAGAAGAGGCGAACATCCTGGGCAGGAAAATCGTGGAACTGGAGGTGGAGAACCGGGGCCTGAAGGCAGAACTGGACGACCTGAGGGGCGATGACTTCAACGGCTCGGCCAACCCCCTCATGAGGGAGCAGAGCGAATCCCTATCGGAGCTGCGGCAGCACCTGCAGCTGGTGGAAGACGAAACAGAGCTGCTCCGGCGGAACGTGGCGGACCTGGAGGAGCAGAATAAGCGCATCACGGCGGAGCTCAACAAGTACAAGTACAAGTCTAGCGGCCACGACAGCGCGCGGCACCACGACAGCGCCAAGACAGAGGCCCTGCAGGAGGAGTTGAAGGCGGCGCGCCTGCAGATCAACGACCTGAGCGGCAAGGTCATGCAGCTGCAGTACGAGAACCGCGTGCTCATGTCCAACATGCAGCGCTACGACCTGGCCTCGCACCTGGGCATCCGCGGCAGTCCCCGCGACAGCGACGCCGAGAGCGATGCGGGCAAGAAGGAGAGCGACGACGACTCGCGACCTCCGCACCGCAAGCGCGAAGGGCCAATCGGCGGCGAGAGCGACTCGGAGGAGGTGCGCAACATCCGCTGCCTCACGCCCACGCGTTCCTTCTACCCCGCGCCCGGGCCCTGGCCCAAGAGCTTCTCAGACCGGCAGCAGATGAAGGACATCCGCTCCGAGGCCGAGCGCCTGGGCAAGACCATCGACCGGCTCATCGCAGACACGAGCACCATCATCACCGAGGCTCGCATCTATGTGGCCAACGGGGACCTGTTCGGACTGATGGACGAGGAGGACGACGGCAGCCGCATCCGAGAGCACGAGCTGCTCTACCGCATCAACGCGCAGATGAAGGCGTTCCGCAAGGAACTGCAGACCTTCATCGACCGCCTGGAGGTGCCCAAGTCCGCGGATGACCGCGGCGCGGAGGAGCCCATATCCGTGAGTCAGGTACAGTTCTGCCTTTTGCGAGCCGTGGCGATGGCGAGGCTGGCCCGTGGAGCTGCGGTCCCTCGTGGGGCGTCTCCACACTCCGACTTCCACACCCCACCTTAGGGAAGTCCTAGCCTACAGCCTTGCTGGGGTCTGAAGCCCTGCAGAGCACCTGTTTTCACACTGGGTTCTTTTAGGCTGAGGTTCCTGAAATTTGATCTGTTATGAAACAATTTCCCGTTCTGTTCTGTTTAGAGGAGGGAAGTTTACACAGTGTCACCAAAGTTTAACTGATTTTTATCACATTTTAGAAGGTCAACATTTTTTAATATTACTATACTAACAGATCTACGTTAAGGTAAAGAAAGGTCCCGAATAGGCATTCTCAAATCTGGATCTGACTTTTTTGAGAAAGATCTTGAATTTAATACAAATTAAACCAAACTTGATGACGCACGCCTTGAATCTCAGCACTCGGGGGCAGAGGCTGGAGATCTGACTTCCAAGCCAGCCTGGTCTACGTAGGGAATTCCAGGCCAGCCAGAGCAACATAGAGAGACTCTGTCTTTAAAATAATTAATAAACAAGATTTATGAATACTTCTAATAAATGCAGAAACCAGTAGTAAGGATAAAGAGAAGATCCTGTGCCCCAGAGCCTTACGGAAGAGATACAAACAACCCAAGGTGAACTGACATGGCTGTTATTTCTAGTGAAAAATCACCATCAGATAGAGATTCACAGAACTGGTAAAGGAGTCTTTGTTGCATAGCTAGGCAACACTAATTCAGAGAAGTAGTAATAACTGTTCCAGAACAGGAAAACCCAGCACTTTCCTCCGTCCTGACTTATAGAGGCACACCGGATGAATTGGACTCAGCAGCTTTGGCCAGGTATGGTGGCCGCTGAAAGACCAATGCATTTTGTCCAGGTTAACCAGAAAAAAGATAGTCTATGAAACAAAACAGGCAGCACTGTTCCATAGGGCAAGCCTGATGTCGTGTCCATCGGAGAACCCACCAAGTACTACGGCATGCATGGCTTTGAACACACGCAGGACACTGATGTTTAAACCATTTATGCACACAAGCATGACATCCGGCTAATTGCCTGTGAATCAAACTAGCGGAATTGCTGCCTTATTGCTTCTCTTGCATGTTGCTGTGCTTTGCTGTGGGGGAAAAATTAGGATAAAATGTTAAATTTTACTCTTTCCTATTTATATCAAGAAATAGGGTTTTAGTTTTCCTACTGCAGGTTTGTGAATAGCAAGCATGTGGATTTTCAGTTATACTCTGGGGGGAAAATAGATGCTAGAGTGAGAGAAAGCATTGTGCATAATAACAGACCAAGAGTTTGCAAATACAGGCCTAGTTTAAGTTGAATGACTATTTAGATGAGTTGATATGAATATTAAGTTTATCATTATTATTCATTAGCTCTTCTCTTTGTCTCTGCATTTACCTTCCCAGATGTTCCAGCCTATCATTTTACTCATTCTCATCCTTGTATTATTTTCATCCCTTTCTTACACAACAATATTTAAACTTGTCTTCCTTTTTACACTGTTTTTTGTACTGTAAATCTTTCATCATCTACCATTCATTGTAGTGTTTTCAGTTGTTTTATTTTGTCCACCATTCAAGACAAGAAGTAAAAGAAGTATAATTTCTGTAGTAAACAATGCTGTAAAAACACTGAAGACTGCATATTTCTGTAAAAAAGACACAACTCATCTTACCACTACCAAATTCAAAAAGAAACTCCAGCACCAAATATTTCAGGTAAGAAAGTAAGTGTAGCTTATTTTTTGATGTGAATCATAATTTTTTGCCTCTTTATATTGTTTTTGTATGCTTAACAATTGGCAGATTGACTGTAAAAATGGGTTCTTTTTATCCATTATCATATAGATTAATTAAGCACCATTTCTTTATAAATCTATATATAGATGTTTTATAAGGTATTTCTAGTACATTATATAGATCTATAAATACACTGTTGTATTAGATCTACAAGAAAATGTCAATATTTAATAAATGTCTGTGAAAATAAGTGGTGACTAAATGAAATGGCGACCCTCACAGCACCTTGGAACATGTTGATGTTCCAAGGCTGATGTGCTCCATCTCCAGAACTGTTCAGAAGCATGAGACTGGGTTATCTTGTTCAATAAGAGGCTAATTCTTCCCATTCTATTGAATTTGTCAGCTGTCCACTAAATCATCTGTTTTTACATTTATTTATTATATACAGAGCCATGTATTGCTAGTTGAACTTGTTGCCTAGAACCCTTTCTTCTTTCTGTAATAGATTGCCACACAGAACTGCCTTCGGTGCAGGAAATATGCGCATCCCCCTATCTTAGCATATATACTTAAAGTGGTCTGGGTGGACTCTATGTACCAAAGGTTCGATTCTGCCTACCTTGTTGGTAGTTGACCTACTAGAATGCTGAAATATACAGAAATTCTAGCACTGGACTGAAGTGTCGTGGCACATGCCTGTAACCCGAACACTGGGGAAGATAAGACAAGAGGATTGCGAGTTCAGCCTGGAATATAGCCAGACCTCAAGAAAAAAAGAGAAAGAAATTCCACTGGTTGAGGTCATATCCTTCTCAGTTCACACAATGAATGGTTAGAGGATGTGAAAATCTTGATGAAGGGAAGTATGCTGACTACAGCAAAAAGATACTGTAAGAACACTTTTCTGGATCAAAATCAGTACAGATAATGGCTTTTGGGATCCTAAGAATTTAATTTCTCTTTAAATATTAAATTTAGGAAAATTCTGCTAGGGAGATGGCTCAGTTGGTAAGTGCACATGTTATACAAGCATAAGGACCTGAGTTTGAATATCCAGCACCCACATAAAAATTTGGCCATGGCTTTGGCCAGAGGAGACTGGAGGATTCTAGGAACTCCTGAGCAGCTAGCCTAGCCAAAAATAGTGAGGTTCAAGTTCAGTGAGAGACCTTGTCTCAAGGTAACGAGGAGAGCAATCAAGGAAGACACTCAGCATTCTCCTGCACAATCATATGTACACACCACAGATGCACATAGCACCATGCACACAGCACACCACACACACACACACACACACACACACACACACACACACACACAATTGACTAGAGAGATGGCTCAGAGATTCAGTGATTCAGACCACTGGCTGCTCTTGCAGAGGATGCAGGTTCAGTCCCCAGCACCCACATGATAGGTAACAACCATCTGTAACTACAGTACCAAGGGATCAGACACCCTTTTCTGGCTGATATGGGCATTGCATGCACATAGTGCACTTACATACATGAAGGCAAACACTCATACACATAGAATGAAAATAAATTTTTAAAAGAAACGTAAACTAAATATGCTAGATTATTTATGTGCATCAGTGTTTGCCTCCATGTGTTTATGTGTACTAAATGCATGCCTGGTGCCCATGGAGGCAAGAAGAGGGTTCAGAGCCCTGGACTAGAACTATACAGTTGGTCGTTAGCTATCATGTGGGTACTGGGAACCAAACCCAGTGGTCTTAACTGCTGAGCTCTCTCTCCAGCTCCCAGTGTCTGCTAGACTTTTGATAAGACTCTGATCTACTATCACAAAGGAACCGAACATAAAAACTTAGGGATTGGAATTTGCCTAAAATGTCTGCAGCACTAAGAATGAGAGCTCTCTAGCCAAGCAGCAGTTCTCAGCTACCAGTGGAGCCTCTGGAAATGCATAGAAGTATGACGAGTTGTCACATGACTGAGAGGTTCTCTGCATTTAGAGGGAAGGAATCAGAACCTCTAGCTTCCTGTAATTCCATATTTCAAATACTTCTGCCAAAGTTGTTGATATTATCCCTATGGAGAAACATAATATGAGATGTCCTTTGTTCACTTGTGAAACGTTATGTATATCCATTGTTCTGTGTGACTTTAAGAAATTCACCTTGGGATTTGGAGTTCCTTTATTATTAGATTAATCAAGAGTTAAATATCTGCAACCATATTTCTCAACCCTAACAGGGCATCAGAATTCCTGGGATGTTTTTAGAACTGAGGTCCTACCCCATACTAATTGAAACTGAATGTGTGGAATTAGGTATGTGTATTATTTTTAATTTTCCAGAGCCACTGCTACAAATAGTTGAATTATCCAAAATATGTGTACACACACACACACACACACACACACACATGTATAGTCTATGTATTGCTAGCAAAGTTCCTGGAAAGAAATGAGGTATAGAATGTACGCCCATCAGTTATCTAGGACTGTGTAGACCTAAAGTTCCAGCCACTACTCCATGGATGTCTGAATGCTTGGTAACACATGAATGTCCCAAAGCTTTGCAGAGCATTCCCACCCAGCAATTCTTCGGGCTTTACCTGAAAACCTCTCGTGTCAATGTGGTTCTATTTCTACATTACTGGTACTGTTTTTTTCAAAAAGAAATAAAGAGAAGCTCTCCTTTTATTAATGAAGCTTCCCCAGCCCAACAAAATCAGAGAAGAAAAATGGGAATAATGTGCAACAGAAGGAAGAATCAGAATAGAGTGTGCTACAGTGTCAGGCACTCACAGACAGACAGATGTGCATAGTAATCCAAAGCCTCGCAGTGATCCAGTATGCTGTAACAACAGTATCCCTATGCGAGTTCTTAATGTTACTGGAAATACTGTGGTGGTAGTGTAAAGACCTCAGCATTGACTCATGGTATCAGTGCTAACCAAACACCAGTCTTATCTTTAGATTTCTTTTTAGAAGTTATGCTCATCCTAGCAACAGCAGTATTAATATGAATTCCAAAGACTTGTTTTATGAGGCAGGGTCTCCCTATAAGCCCAGCTTGCCTAGAATTCTAAGGCTAGTCTTTATTTCACAAAGATCTACCTGCCTCTGCTTCCCAAGTTCTAGGGCTAAAGGTGTGTGCCACCACACCCAGCAAGAATTTTATGTGAATCTTAGTTCCCATCCAGGCCCTCCAGAGATAGAACTGTCATAAGATACTGGGAAGGGAAAGCAGGCTGAAACAGGACTGGCTTGACTGCCACTCACAGACTCAGGGGCCTCTACAGCAATTCTGAAGTCCAGGATGCAAATTTACTGCCTCATTGAATTCTAAGGAAGATTTCCTAACTCTGACCTCTGCACTGCCCAGCCAGTTTCCAGTGGTGCTTCAGCGCATGCACATACTGCCAAGCTGCCATTGTGTGCAATAAGTGTATCTAGGGTAAGATACTCAGAACTCTGTGTCTTGCAGAGAACATGCTGAGGGACTGATGAGTAGAATGTGGTCTCACCAAACTGCCAACAAAGTGATCTTCTCCTGGGCTATCATCTCCCAGTAACTTGAGGTTCCTTTGTAGGAACTCAGTACCTAGAATCGGAATGAAAAGTTATGAAAGATGATGCCCAAGACCTGTGAAAGAAAGTCCCCGGCATTTCCCTCCTCTCCCCGGCATTTCCCTCCTCTCCCTGGTATTTCCTTCCTCTCCCGGCATTTCCCTCCTCTTCCTGGCATTTCCTTCCTCTCCCTGGCATTTCCCTCCTCTCCCCGGCATTTCCCTCCTCTCCCCGGCATTTCCCTCCTCTCCCCTGCATTTCCTTCCTCTCCCGGCATTTCCCTCCTCTCCCCAGCATTTCCCTCCTCTCCCCTCCTTCCTCTCCCCGGCATTTCCCTCCTCTCCCCCCCCCAGCATTTCCTTCCTCTCCCCGGCATTTCCTTCCTCTCCCCGGCATTTCCTTCCTCTCCCCTTGGATCCTGTTGCGTGCATTATTTTTGTTATTTTCTCTAGTTTCAAATGGACAACCAGCCTTCTTTGTTCATGAGAAACATAAAATCTCCCATTGTTGAGACTAAGAATCTTCTATTCTCACCTTAAAGCTATGTTATTTAAATGTCACACTGGAAATTTTAAAAAAGCAAAAATTATAGAAGGTCCCTCCATCTGTGGCACATTCTTGGACATGGGAACAACAGTCTTTGTTAATTTAGCCTAGTTTTAAGAGAAACAAGAACTGGAATTTGCTTGGTTATTTTTAAAATCACTGAAACTCATAAAACATAGAAAAGTTTGGTGCTGAGGCAGGAATCTGCTTTGGCCCGAATTCCCAATCTTTGGTTTATGTGGTACAGTGGGATATGGCTATTTAATTATCTGTTGAAGTTTGGAATGTCAGCCTGGTAGCTTAGCCTTAACTCTGTATCTGTATCTGTGCAACATCTTAGCTCCATTCTCATAGAACTACAGTCTAGTCTCACCTGGTACAGTAGGGTTGGGTCAGACGCCCTAACTGAATGTAGAGAATGAACAGAATAGTATTAAAATGTGAGGAAAGTTAACAGTTTAATTAAACCAATGGAATTTGGTATAATTAAAAAAATAGTGTGCATGAAGACATACATGCTAAAACCCTAGCTGAAAGCCAGATAGGTGTAGTGATAGGCAATTTTGATTCTATTTCTAATTTTGATCTGCTTTTGAATGAAACGCTTGCATAGACATTTTGATGAAACTAACGCTTCGTGAATATGGCTGATATTCTCATCAGTCAGCTTGTAAGAGAGACACAAAAGAAGGAAACTTCATGTCCTGTATACACAGCATGAATGCAGCAGCATCCCTAGTGGTTCTAAACAGTGCTTTTGTGTTGCTGAGTTAGGAGCTGCCAACTCACAGGGATTCTTTTTCATGGTGGCCATTCTGAAAGTTTTCAGTGCCATAGACTGCCCTGGTTCCTGTTGTGTAACGTTATGTATTCCATTCATGCCTGCTCTGCTTGAA